GCGCGAAATACGAGTGTTGTGTTATCCCGGCTCCCTGGCACTGAATTATGGGCCGTTTTGTCGTGGTTTATTTCACACAGCTCCATACGTGTTTGTGTAACGTCGGAGGCAGCCTCGGTTCCGGCCTCGCGTCGGGTGGGCTCCCATTTGGGCTCCCTCCCCATTTGGTGTCTGAGGGGGAAAGGACTCCTCCGTCATCGTTTCCACTCGCTGGCAAAGGGAACGTTATTTAAACCGGTCCAGAACCTCGCTGGGAAGAAATCACTTCCCTGATTTATCAAGACAAGTTATTTTTTCCCATCAGAAATAGGGCTGCCACATGGTTTCGTTCTCGGTTAAACAAGGCACAGCCTCAAACTTGAGGCCCAAGAGGAGGGGGGAAAAAAGGAAAAACAAAAGGAAAAAAAAGGAGAAAAAGGCGACGTTTCAGTGCCGTCAGCGGGAGGAGGGTGGGAGCGCACGGCCCAGCGCGCGGCTCCGCTCAGCACCATCTGCATAAACCCATTCCGGTATTGTCGGGGCTGCCCGACCATCTGCAGAAGTTGATGCAATGCATCTATATTTTAGATACTCGCTATTTATTCAAAGTAACTTATGTTATTTATTTAGATACCATAGTGTGCCATCTACGTAATGCGTTCTTTCTCTCTCTCTTTTTTTTTAAAATTTATTTATTGATCCGAACGGTGCCAAGTGCAGTTTACATTTATTACATTTTTACCATTTATTCTGAACGTTGGGGGGGGGAAATGCAGTATGATGTTATTTTTTTTAAACAGACATAAACTCGGGTGTGACGCTGTTACATACTCATGACCAAGTGAAAATAAAAGGAGGAGTATGTTGATTTCTCGCTGGTTATCTTCTGTCACTGCTGCCTGTGGGTAAACAGTGGGAGAGATGTTGTGGCCCCAGCATGGGGACGGGCAAGGAAATGGGAAATTTGGCTTTTTTTTCTTCTGGGAGAGCAGAGAAGGCTGAAAGATGGAAGGAGCTTGGCTTTATTTTCCAGTTTCCTGCAAAAAGTTTCATGCACACCTGCAAACAGCACCATTTCTTTCTTTGTCATCTGCTCTAAAACTGTATTTTTTATATATATATATATATACATATATATATATATTTGTTTTGCATAACAGCGATTGGAGACGCTACCAAGGCTGGGTCGTTGCTGGGCTGGTTTAGCCACAGAAATAATCATCTTTGCCTGCTTCTTGTAAAGGAGCTTCCAGTTGGGTTGGCCCAAAGACATGGTAATTCTGGCAAAATCCCATTAAAAAAAATTAAAAAGAAAGTAAAAAGAAAAAGAAAAAAAACCAAGATTTTGATAAGGTCAGCCAGAAAAAAGACTCAGTTGCTCTTCTGGAAGCAGCGCTGAGGTTAGACTCGTATTTTATTTTATAGGGAAAACATCTCAAAGGCAGCAGCAGGCGCTGGCTGGGCCTGTGGTGCTCTCCTTAGGGTGGTTATAGCAGTGAATATTTTGGGTGAAATGTTGTAATTTGAAAGCTCGGCCAAGTTCAGGACCCAAACGCATTTCAAAGCTGTGGAGGACGGCGGTGGTGGCACCAGTGTGGCCACAGCACCAGGCCCCCCCCAGCGCCTTCGCCCTGATACTGGTTTCCAGTTGCTCCATGGGGGACAGCAGCAGTGGCAAGGGAGGGCTAGTGGCCCAGGACTGGGCTGGTGGCCCAGGACTGGGCTGGTGGCTCAGGACCTGCTGACTAAGCCCCATTTTAGCCCATTTTAACCCCATCTTGCAGACCTTGACCCCTTTAAATGTGCATTGGCCCCATTTAAGCCCACTTTAACACCATCTTCCAGACAACCCATGTTATGGCCAGTTAATGCACATCACCCCCCCCTCCTTTAACCCACATGAACCCCACTGAACACTCATTACCCCCAATTAACACCTATTACCCTGTCTTAAGTCACATTATCCCCATTTAACACACATTAGGGCATTTCACCACGCAAAGCATCTGTGTCCCTGATGCAGGGAAATGCCTGCATCCCTCTCCTTTAAAAGCACTACCCTCCATCCCAGTCTGTCCCGAAAAAGATTATTTCTAATTGATTTTTTTCACTTAAAAATAGGATGAAATGGTCTAATGCCCATGGCGAGATTGGGCACAAGTTCCTGCATTTGTTTGCGAAACATCACATATCGAGGGAAGCCAATGATTCGCCCCGCTGCTCTGCCAAGGTTGGCACCGGAGAGCAAGGAACAACTGGAGAAAGAGAAAAAAAAAAGGAGCTAAAATGCTTTAGAACCAGCAAGGTTTATGGTGTTTTTTTGGGAATGGAAAAAAAGGTCTGTTTATGTTCCCTGCTCATGCCACCCAGAGGCCTGACAGCCACGGCCGGCCCGTGGTCGAGGCCAACATTCGCGCTGGAAGCTCCACTTTGTAAATATTTTATGAAGCATCTTTGGAGACTCATAAATCTATACGGGGGGGTGTGTGTGTGTGTGTGTGTGTGTGTGCGCGTGCGCGCGCGTGTGTGCATGTGTGTGCCAGCGGCTACGAAAGGCTGCGATCCTGCTGCCAACCTGCCCAAAAATAAATTAAAAATTTAAAGGACAAAAAGAGGACAAAGTGAAGTTTTAATGAGCAAACTGGAGAGGGCTGCTTGGAAAATCTGACTCCTCCAAGAGCGTTAAATAAAAAGAAGGAAAAAAAGTATGTTTGCAGGCACCAGTGTGAAGCCAGGACGTGCTTCAGGGCTGGGGCCAGGGATGGTTTTGGGTGTGATTTCTTGGAGATGAGGTGCATGTTGTCACCTTCCTTAGTGTAAATGGGAGATTTTCAGCGGGTGGTGCTTGCTTTAAAGCCTCAGCTTAAAAAACCCAGCTCTCAAATGATATTTTGTATTTGTTTGTTAATTTTTAAATGGAAAAAAGTAAAAGGCAGGAAGTGGGATGCTGAGAATGGTCAATCCCACCGCTCAGTCTGGGCTTCTCCAAATTACTTCCTCGTAAGAAAAACCACGGGAAAATAAACCCAGCCCCACTTCAAACTGGAAAACACAAAATAAAAGTGAAGAGAAGAGCGTGGAGTTTGTGATTTCTCTCCCAATGTCTCCATATGAAGCCTCGGAATGACAATATTCGTTGCTTCAGCTGCTGCTGGGGGTTTGCCACCAGTCAAGGAGGGAGCTGGATGGCACTGGACAACCCTGGAGAAAACCAAGTTTTTAATGGCCCCATGTCCCCCCCGGCCTTGCGGGAAACCAGGGAGATAATAATAATGTTAAAAATAGAGGTTTTGGAGCAGTGTCAGACTTCTGCTCTGCAGAGACAGTGGGGCCAGAGGGGAGCCAAGAGGAGAGGCAGAGCTTGGGGTCAGCCATGCTTTGCATCTGGGGAAGGGGAAAGGCTCCGATACCCCCAGATTCTGAAAACACAGCAGCTGGAGCTGTGCAGGCTCCAGAGCTTCATCATCACCGGGTTTGTCCTGCGGGGTGTGTGAAGCTGCCTGCATCAACCTTGTAAACTCAATGATTTCCAGCTTTCCTGAGCCTCCTGAGAAAATACCCCTGTAAAACTCACCTTTTTGGACCATCTCTGCCCAAAAACATCCGCTGGAACACTTCAGCCAGCCTCCTGCCACCTTTGGTTAAAAAGATGGGTGATTTGAGGGTAAATGGGGTGTTTTCACATCTCTGCAAGGTCCTGAAGCAGCCCCTCATACTGGTATCACCCAGCTGGGTGTGGAGGGGGAACCCCTTGGACAAGGGGGCTGCAAACCCCAGCACTGATGTTTTGGAAGAAGGGGGACTGGGACTTCTCAGTGCAGGCTTCCAGCCCCGGGCCCCATGGCACAGCCATCCAGATGTTTCCCTCGGTGAAGTCTCCCCCCTTACAGTGTTTCCCAAACGCGGTGTCAGCTTTCCCATCCCCTAATGAAATCAGCCTGTGTGGAGCTCCCCACAGCCATCCCAGTCCGAGGCCACAGCCACACCAAGATGCTGTTTAGCGGAGGGGAAGGTTTAATGTGACATTTTGTCCTGCCAACCCCACGTCCCCCCCTCAAGGACCATGGCTTACGCCTGGCTGGGTGCAAGCTCCTTGGTCTGCCCATGAATGCTTTCGTGGAATTGAAATTCATATTTTGGTTGCCCTCTCGAAGGCTTTCAGCAACCTGAAAAGGAAACAGTTTCCAGTGATATGACCTGAACAGCAATGGGAAGCTCAGCGAAGGCCGATTATTCACTGTTTTTTAAACATGTGGCCTAGGGGCATCAGCCAGCGCCAGAAGTTGCGATGTTCAAGGCACAGAGGAGGAGGTTGCTCATCACGTGCTGGTCCTGAGCATCTCCTTGCCACATGGTGCTGCAGGCAAACTTTCAGTTCTTTTGGGGGCATCCTTGGCACCCACCACCTTACCTGCACCAATCTGCTGCTGTCAGACCCTTCCCCAAACCCACATTGTCTTCCTAACCTGTTCAAAGAACAGCCTTGTAAAATAAAGTGAGCAGTTTGATGCCTGTTTAGCATCTCGATGCAGCACCCAAAGGCAGTCAGGGAGACTCCATGGCAGAGCAAGGGCAGAATGGGGCCTCCGCAGCCTCATGGCATGGCTGTCTCTTAAAGCTGCAGCTTTGCACTGTATGAAGTCCCTGAAATGGGTTTATTATCGCCATTGCTATTTTGCCTTCCCCTCTTGGCCACTTGCTTTGACTCTCCAGCCTGTGGAACTGATCCAAAATTGTTTGCAGAGGCTGAAGGTGAACTTCTCCAAAGACCAAGCTGCAGCCAGCATAACAAGTTGTTCGGTAACAAACAGATCAGCAAAAAAATTATGTACTACTCTACCTGACAGTCTATTCACCAGTAAAACTAAGACATACAAACACCTAATTGCTTCCTTGTCCTTGCTCGCTTCAAAGCTCCTCTTGTCCCTCCATTTCCATCAAGTTCAATCATCCCGTGAAATTACAGCCCACCAGCAAGGACAAAAAGATTGCAGTGCAGCAGAGAGCAGAGCAAACAGCAGTTACACAAACCACTTGGACAGATCGGGCACAACCTGGTACCTGGCCTCCATCGTCTGCAAGAAGCGACAAGCTTTGCAGACGTGCAGGGACCAGTTGGCCCCCACCACAGGTTTCAACCACTTGCGCCACTGGAAGTAGCGCTGGTATCGCTCGGTGTCCTTGCTCAGCTCCCACAGGTACTGTGCCAGGTCCCCAGCACTGGCGAAGTCATCGACGTGGATGAAGGAGTCAGGGGGCAAGAAGCGCTCATAGTTTTCTCGAGGAGGCCCCAACACAATGGGGACGGTGCCAGAGGACAAGGCGTTCCTCCAGAGCTTCTCAGTGATGTAGTCTTCATGCTCTGAGTTCTCAAAAGCGAGGTAGAAGCTGTATTGGGATACAGTGGGGAGGAGCTTGTCGCAGGGCAGGGGCAAGTGATGCTTCCCAAAGACATCCACATCAATGTGTTTCTTCAACTCCTGGTAGTACTTCACCCGATGGGAGCCCACTATCCAGTTGCTGACTACCCAGGCCACCAGCTTGGTCTTGGGTGGGATGCTGAGGAGCTGGGGCTGGCCAAGGAGCTGCAGCTCCCCATAGGGGGTGAAGATGTCTGAGTCCCTGCGGTAAGACATGGTCAGGTTGAAGAGGTTGTCCATGGCACCTAAGTTTGGTGAGTGACTTGGAGACTCCAGGTTGAACCAGATCCAATGCTGAGACGGGTGTCTGGGGAGCTGGGCCAGGCGCCCTGGGTCCCCACACACATCCCTGTGATGTATAATCACAGCATCAGCCTTTTGGGACCACCTACGGCTGACAGTGAAGTGGCAATCTGGGGTGCTGTAAAGCTCCGAGCAGTTTATGAATTTAAAGTGCTGCCCAAAGGGCCACTTCCACAGCAGGATGGTCAGCCCACGTCCACCCTTTGGTGGGCTGCTGGTATTTCTAGCATGGGCTGTTGGTGCAGAGGGACTGAAATTGTAACAGTCTGGCTCAGAAGGCCTGAACTGATGAAAAGAAACAAAGAGGCAGGAGCTGAAGATGAGGCTGAAGAGCAGGAAGATGAGGAGTTTCTTGCAGGAGATCATCTTCCCTTCCACGAACTCCATGACTGGATCTGCAAACACCACAGACAGGACACCAAGTGATGGGTGCACACAGACCCAGCAGGGAAGTGGCTCTGGATAGACAGTTTGGCAGGGAGGTACATATGGAGGCTTCGGTGTGAAGAGCTGAAGTACATTCACCTCCAGCCACCTCTTTGGGGAAAGAAAGGTCACCTCCAGAGCGCCACACACAAGGCGCTTACATGCACACTCACCCACAGGGCACAGCCGCCCCTCTGCAGGCCCCAGGCTTCCTGCCATCACCACCACCTTTCCTTGCCACCCCGTTCTTCCCAACCCTCATTTCCCACAAGAGCAACGAGCAGCCCATGGCGGGGTCCTCAGGACACGCGGTGGCCTGCGCCATCACGGGGAGGCCTGCGACCTCCGCTCATGTGCTCTGTTCTGATTGGCTGACAGGACCGGCCACGCCTTTCCTCTACCTACCAGGCCTGCCATTTTGGTTTGGTCACCGTTTCAGGACAGGGAGCCGCCTGCTTTTTAAGACATCATACTGCTCTGTGATTGGCTCACTGCCATTTCTTGACTCCGTCATTCCCACGTATTCTCAAGCAGCCCTGTGATTGGCTGGCAGGACTCTACCAATGTAGCCTGAAGCACACCAGAATAGTACTCCTATGTCCTCCCACGAGGGGAGGCCCCCACTTCTCACAGTGTCATTCCGCACATATTCTCGGGCAACCTTGTGATTGGCTGCCCACTTCTTTGGACCAGGAAGCAGCTCTGTGATTGGCTGCCTGCTCCTTTGGACTGGGAAATGCTCACATGTAAAAATATATACAATATATAGAATTATACATAAAGGGGTGTACAAATATGTATAAATATATCTATTTAGATATAACTACACTGGCTTTATATATTCTTCTATATATGTATAGTTATGTCTATATTATTATTTATAACCACCCTGGTGTGCAGGCTGTGTTTCCTTGACTTTCAGTTGCTGACATCACTATTTCAAAACAGCTTATCTGTAGTAATTAATGGCCTCATTTGTGTGTTATGCTTCAGTGTCCTGTGAACAGTAGCCACAGCCTTCTGAGCACTGCTAGAACAGGAGCACTGCAGCTCCTGACTGCCTCCATCACAGCACCACCACCACCAGCATGTTTACCACCAGCATCCCGCTGGCTGCTCCTCTGTGCTAGATGATAGCCACAGTCTTTCAGGTCTGCAACACCCCACTGCTTTTACTGAGCCACTTGCTGTGGTTTCTAAAAGCATGGGGCTGCTGTCTGTGTCCCAAAGCCCAGGTTTTGCTGCTTTTGCAGTAATCAGGATAGTCTAACAGGACAGTCTTGATTGCATGCCAACATTGCCCTAAGGACAAGAAAACCTATATAGCACCAGCCTGCACTCCACCATGGTCTTACAAGTAGCTGTAAGATTCCCCCCAGCGACAGGATTTCCAGCAGGAGCTAGTGGTTGTCACCTCTTATCTTGTGTATCAGTGATACCTACAACACTGACAGACACAATAGGAAAGTACAGAGGGAAGCAATGCAATCAGAGGTGAAAACAGATGACTGCAGGTGCCCTCCTGTACCCAAGTGTCTCTCTTACTGCCCAAGTCAGGTTCCTTCTCCATTAACTACTGAAAAAAGAAAAGACTGTTGCAACTCACCTCCAGCCTTGGTCCTGGTGGGAAAGTGTGCTGTGAAGATGAGCACTGAAGTGGATGACACGTCCAGAAAAAGAGGAGAAGAAAGATGTCCTGCAGATGCAGGGAGGGATCAGAGATGTGTTATAGGTGTTCCTCTGTGTCTCAAGCTGCGTGTGTCAGTCACTGCCACCAGAAACATGACACCCAATAATAAAAGCTGTAATAAAGCCAGGAGAGATTCCTCTTTGATGAATTAAGGAACAGTCAAATAAAGCAGCCCACACGTTGCTTGTGGTCAAAGCACACCTTACCATTGAAAGCAGGTCTGCACATGCACTGGTTTGCTTCCTTTCCCAGTCTCAACCCACAGGATTCACTTGTGATACCTTCTCCACCTTGCATTGCAGGAGAACAGTTCTGTCTGGGAAGGCTGGGCAAAGCTGGCATGTAGTGGAGGTGTAGGCATCAGGTCTGCAAGTCCCCTTGCCAGCTAACGGACTTCATGGCACAGCTTCATGGCCACACCAGGCCACATCTCCTGTTCACCTTTCCAGGATCTTGAGCTAAAGCACATCTTGGAATTGGTAACTTCAGCAATCACCATGAGCTTCAGAGCAGATGAACAAGACTGTCTGGGGATCCCTCCTGTATCCAGTGCCACAGATAGTGCTTTGGAGTGACTCCAAGCCAGGTGAATAGGCATTGTACATCACGATCTGTGGACATGAAGAGGTTGTTTGCTTGCTATGGTCAGAGTTAATTGATTTGGCATCGAGCTTGGCTGCACTTGGCTGGGATATAAAAAAGCCATTATGTGTTATTATCAGGCTTAAATACTTTCAGCTGTAAGGATGGATTGTTGGTCTGGAATTAAATTCACATAGAAAGTTTTAATACAGGTTCAGGGTGTTTTGGGTGAGCACAGGTATTCTAAATAGGCAATACCAGGTGGAAGAGTTTACATTTCCAGGCCTTCTACCAGCAGGTGCGTGTTTCCTGGGAACAGAGCTGGAGGTCACCTGAAGTTTATCCAAGTGCCTCCTGCAGACCTGGGAGCACTCCAGCACAGGTGAGAGCAAAAAATGTACCACAGAATGAGGGATAGGGGCCATTACTCATGGTTTGCTCACCCCGGGCTGACCCAGGCAGCCTGAGGGCTCCCAGCTCCTCACCTGGGCCTGAGAAGGTACCAGCCACCCAACTGCTCTGCCTACAATTCCACACCTATATTAGTAACTTAAACAGTATGAGGGCACAGGCTCTGGATTTAATTCACCTGGAGGCTGAAATTTTGAATGGTCCATGGCCAAGCTTTGGCATGATCCAGCTAACACTATGCCAGATGTGACCTGGTCTCAATTTAGGCGTTACCAGGGCAAAAAACCATTCCCTACAAGTAGTCTGCATGTGACCACTCCTTGATGGCAAAAGAATTTCTGTAACATGAACATGGCCCAGACACACTGGTTAGCCTTAGAAGACTTGTCCTACAAGGGTAGATGCAGTCGTGGAGTTCAGACACAGCCACCTTTCCTGCTGCGGATCCATGAGCTCTGCAGCCAGCAGCAGAAATGAAGGCCCTGTGTTCCCAGATGTCCCCAGATGAGATTTTACTCAAGACTGTGGAGGAGAAAGAGGATTTGAGTTTCCCAGCACCATGGGAATCCCCGAGTTGAAGGATCCTGTAGCACCAGGTAAGAGGCTTCAGGCAGGTGGAAAATTTAAGACTTTTGTACCCCTGAAAGCCAGGACCATAAGGAACTTAAGCTCAGCAGGGGTAAATTAAACAAATGAGCAAGTGTGGAGAAGCCATGGAAAACAGTCACAAAACTGTGGATTAAGAACTGTTCTGAGTGGCATATGTGACAGATAACTTAGTCCAAAAGGTGATATGAGGCTGTAGGATGGACAGAACAAAGTGGCCGTTCAGCCAATAGACTTGGCAGGACCAAACATGGTTGACATGAAGACTTATTGTTATATGATTAATAGTCTCAGTAATCCCTACATCTGGAGACAAATAATGCTGTGCTTTGGAGAAGCTTCCTGGTTACTGCCCTTGCTAAACCAGCGAGGAGCTTTGGATGCTGAGCTCTCACCTAGGTGAGAACAGGGAAATGCAAGGACTGAGCTCCCTGTGCCAACAGGGCAAATGTCGCTCACCCAGGGATGCTGGCAGCTGAGACCATTTGCCTTCAAAGGGCTCACCAAGCACAATTGGTCCACAACTGATAATCCACAGTGATGGGTTTGCAAAAAGACTAATAAACTAAATAAATGGGCCAGAGACTAGTTCCTATCCCTGAGGCCAAGGGACACAGCTTGACTCCCATTCCTACTTCCTACTGCTTCTCAGTCAACTGCAGCCGCATCCAGGCTTTTTGCTGGGAACAGTTCCTGCCCTGGGCTATCTTTGGACCATATCTAGATGCTGTTTGGCATGGGGTAAAATTGTACCAAGGTGTGTGCAGTACAGCTGACAATGGGACAGAGTTTAGACCTGTGCCCCGGCTCCACTTAATTTCCCATTGAAGATGTAGCACATGAGGAAAAGCCGTAGTCCAGGGCTACAGCTGGGGGTTGAGTTCTTGGAAGCATTTCTCTAATCAGACAGCTTGTCCCAAGAAAAGACATGAGACTCCAAGAGGACAGGGCACATGTCTCATAGCCCTGTCAGCAATAGATCTCTGCTAATATCAAGGTGTTTAATCTTGCATTAAAATTAACTGGAAAAAAGATCTCTATGTACCTCCAATTCCTTTGAAAAGCATCTGCAGAGTCTGCAAGGGAACAACTCTATGTTTGCCTGCTCCAGTCACTCTGGACAGACTGCAAAGAGCAAGCAAAGCAGTGGGAGGAATGCGGAATTCCTCTGTGAAGACTCACCAGGGAGCTCTGCCCAGGGCACTCAACAGCCATAGTCTCCAACTGCTCCATGCTCATCTCTTGGTGCTCACCTCCCAGTTTTCCTGGAACAAACATGTTTTGGGAGATGATCATCAATAGGTAAATACTCGCATGGATCCAGTGGTAGTCCTAAACACATAGCTGTGCTTCAGTGAGTAGGATGGGTAGATCTTGTCCAAACACAATGACTGTTTATGCTTCCTTCTATCACCCTGAGCCTTTTTGTCTACACAGACATAAAAGCAGCATCAATAGACACTCTGCTGAATTTCTCATGTGGGTTTCCAGCATGAGGGAGGAGGACCAGGGAGATGAGAGGGGACCAACCCCCAAATGTACAACAGGTCCTGAGATGCTGAGCACATTGTTTGTGTCTCACCGTACAACCACATGCCTTGGCTGGCATCCAGCAAAGGTTTCTTGGTCTTCTAGGCTAGACCAAACTCATGGCCCAGCCTAGTAACAGCAG